GAATACCAAAACCAAATGGGCTGGGCTGGGCTGGGCTGGCATCAGAAGGCAAGTGCAAGGTCCTGAAAGGGAGCCCTTCTGCAGTGGGCTGTGAGGGGCACCCCGGCGGCATGCAACTTCAGGGTGCAGGCTAGTGCCAGGCGAACACTGCACAACCCCACAGCACTGTCTGGAACCCCTTGCTGAGGGGGGGGGGGAGGGAATTCATCTCACCAGATCACCAAGTTGCCGTCTCTCCCTCCTTTTCAGTACTTCAGTGGGAAACTCCAGAACACACTTGCCTTTTCCTTCCTGGATGGTGTGGCTGGAGAGGAGAGCAGAATGGTGGCAATGTAGGTCTTTCTCCCCCTAAGGCCTTGGGCAAGATTCACTTTCAGCTGCTCTGTAGTCAGCACTGGCACAAGGGTGTGACACACCAGGAGAGCACTCCTCTTTTCCACCCAGGGGAAGTATGATCACCTTCCTCAGAGCTGTGAGAAAGCTTCCCCAGCCTCCAGCTCCATCAGAACCTGATAAAAACTTTTGTTGTCTAAAGTCTGCTTAGTTATTAACTCTTTTCCAATTCTTTTGGCCATTCGATTTTAGTACATATTCTGCTGAAGTGAGCATATTTCTGGCCATCTGTAATTTGTCTTTTTAGAGAATTTGACCTAAATTTCTATTTTTGTCATATTTTGCATTAGAATTGTGTGCTCTATTAAAATATAGCCTTTGATTGTAAAAACCGTTTTTTCCTCAGTACCCAGGACTATTTTTCCATAGATATGTTCAAAATATTTGGATTCAGAGGGGGTAAACTGGCCACTTCCAACCCAGGAAGGGAGTTGGTGGAAATTAAAAGAAATTGTTTTGTTTTAGATTTTAAGATGGCTTTTCACTGTGTTTCCCAGGCTGCTCTTAAATTCCTAGGCTCAGGTGATCCTCACTCCTCACCGTCCCCAGAAGCTGGGACCATAAGCACATGCCTCTATGCCCAGTTGGTGGAACTGCTTTCATTTTTAAAATTTTTATTTTAAAATAAAAATCTTTATTTTAAAATAAAAATTTTTATTTTAAAATAAAAATCATTTTAAAATAAAAATGATACAAAGTTTCAAAACAATAGGATATTAACAATGGTTAATACATTGTGTATTGTTTTCTTTAAAGTAGTTGCTCAGATTAAAGTCATAGGCATGAAAAAAAGATCAAATAGCACAAACCATTCTTTTTGATGAACTAATAGAGATTAGTAATATAGTTATCTATCTTGTGTATATTCTATCTATCTATCTATCTATCTATCTATCTATCTATCTATCCAGCTTTCTATCTATCTCCTTTTTTTTCTTTTGGCTTTTTGAGACATGGTCTGTTTATGCAGTTCAGGCTGGCCTTGAGCTCACTTTGTAGCCCAGGCTGGTTTCAAACTTGCTGATGATTCTCCTGCCTCAGCCTCCCAGGTGCTGGGATTTACAGGAATGTGCCACCACATCCATCTTTTCTTTTCCCTTATTTCCTTTCTCTGTTCCTCTATCCCAGTTGTCCTTTCCTTCTGAGGAGTCCCTCCCCCACTCTCACACTGTATATTGTACATTTTGGATCTTATTTAGTCTTTCAGTTTCTTTTCTTTTTTTTTTTTTTTTTTATCAGTACTGGGGATTGAACTCATGATCGCCTGCTTGCAAGGCAGGCGCTTTATGCCGCTGAGCTAAATCCCCAGCCCCAATCTTTCGGTTTTTTACACTAGCAAGACAATGCAATGTATATACACGTATGGTTTCAACTTGCATCCATTTATCTATAAAAGCCTTGAGTTTATCTTTCTTATTTATTTATTTTTTTGTACTGGGGATCAAACTCACAACCTTGTGCTTGCCAGGCAGGCACCGTGCTGCTGAGCTATACCCCCAGCAAGTTTATCCTTCTTTATAGCTGAGTAGTATGTCATTGTATAAAAATTAATCTTTCCCCTCTTCAGTTGATGGGCATTTGGGTTGTTTTCAAGATTTAGCTATTACAAAGTATGTTGCTATAAACATGGGAGAACTTCTTATGCTGCATGTCACTTTGCTCCAGATTTAGGATTTCAAAAATGCATAGAATTTAAGGTTGTCTTACCCTTCATTTAGAATAGTGACAATTCTCTATCCCTGTCATCCTCTTCAATCTATGGGAGGCCTTCTTGTTTAGATTTAGTGTTCTAGTTGATTTCTTATTATACTGGTCTGAAACTCAGCTATTTCATTAAAATTTTTCAAATAAAGAATTCCCACAGCTCACTGATGATGGCGAGTCTAGAAAACCTACCTTGTCTACAATCAGAATTGAGCTGGGTGTGGCCATGCCTGTCTGTAATTGCAGCACTCTATAAGTTTGAGACCAATCTGGGCAATTAGCAATTTAGCAAAACCCTATCTCAAAAATTAAGGGTTAAGAGTGTTGCTCGGTGTGATGGCCCTGAACCCCTCATCAAAGCTTTTTTGTAAAGCATATAATACATAGTATTTTGAAGCTGGTGAATCATGTGGCTGCTGTCACAATTACTCAGCTCTATTGTGCAGTGCAGATGTGGTCATAGCCACACAGGTATGTGGCTGTGTTCTAGTAAAACAGTTATGGATGTTGAGTTTGAATTTATCATCTTTTAATGTCACAGATACTTTTCTGTGACATTACTTTTCACAGTTTTTAAAAAGTCATTTAAGTTTGTAGAAAGTATTTTTAGTCCATAAGCTGTATTAACGTGTGCTTCGGGTTGAATTTGGTCTAGGGGCCATAATTTGTTGACTTTGGTGTTGTGGAAAACCAGTACCAAATCGAATGGAAGTTACACAGCCCTGAGAAGTTGGAAGGCAACTCTGTATTATGCCAGTGGGCTGGGGGAAACTGAGTTCACCAGCCCCATCTTGGGGTTAAACAGACATTTGTATATGTTTTAAGCAGGAAGTACAAAAGGCTTATAGAAGGTTATTTTATAATTGGTTACATAGGCTGAGTCATGTGTTGTTAGGCAGATTTATTTTGGGTGACTTTAGTTGGGAGTTTCTTAAGGTCAGGGGCTTCACTGACCTTAAGAGGAGGAATGAATCATTGTTGTAGACTGAGCCATTCTGTCCTTGAAGCAAGTTAGCACAACAAGATATACTTTCTGGCTGAGTTATGTCTATCTTACAAGTTGTAGCTGGCATGGGGCACGTCAAGGCTAGCTGAGTTTTGCTGTTCTGTATGTATGAGAATGGGCTAAGCCTGCATTTTCCATCCTTGAATATAATGTCTGACTATAAGTTATAAAATTCCCTGTACACTGGTTTGAATCGTGCCTGTACCAAATTTCTCATGTTGACCAGAGCTAATTCTGATTTGACTTTAAGTTGTATAACAGTGAATAATTGCTTTAGTAAGATTATGACTTGGAGAGTTTTTAAAAGGAGAACATCTGGGTCTGAAAGTAGAGAAATGCAGTAGAATTTCAGGTTGGAATTTGGAACAAAATTTATTACTGTTGTATAGCCTTGGATCTTGCTTCAAAAGTTAGTGACTAGAACTGCATCTGGTGGCAGTGCTTGTGGCAGCAGTCCTATCTGTTCAGGAGGATGAAACAGGAAGATTGCTTGAGCCTAGGAGTTTGGGGTCATCCTGGGCAACATAGTGAGACCTGTTAAAAGACAAACTTCTTTAAAAAAAAAACCCAAAAAATTAGTGATTAGAGCACATAAAAGAGCTTGTTAGATAGCTTATGTACTATGCACAATAAGTTAAGATGAAGATTATTTATTTGTGCCATCACTTAAGTGAACTTTGAAGTTGCTGCCTGCCTCTGAAAGCCTCTTTAAAGAATAAAATTTCCAGGCATGGTAGTATAGACTTGTATCCCAACACTTGGGAGGCTGAGGCAGGAGGATCACCTAGAGCTGTGAACTACAAAGTGAGTTCAAGGCCAGCCTGAACTACATAGTGAGATCCTGCTTCAAATCAAACCAAACCAAACCAAACCAAACCAAACCAAACCAAACCAAACCAAACCAAATCAAACCAAATCAAACCAAATCCTGCAATCCAAATACTCTGGGAGGCTGAAACAGAAGGACAGAGTTTGAGCCCAGCCTGAGCAACTTAGTGACTTAGTGAGACCCTGTCTCAAAAAAAAAAAAGAGCTGTGGTTTATGTTGAAGGGTTTAGATTAAATCTCCAGTATTCCAAAATCAAAAAATAGAGTAAGATCTAACTTTCAGAGTTTAGAATATTGGAGACTAAAGGACAGAGAGGCATTCTACTGACAAAAACTTCTTTGGCCTCAGATATTTCGGTCCCAGTTATCTAACGTTAAATCTATTGAGTCTGTACAATAGATAGCAATATTTGATTACAATGTCTTCCACCCTGTTACTAAAATTACACAGTGCATGCATTGTCACTAAAATACATAGCACATAAAGCTTTACTCACAAGTAAGCATATGGAACAACCAATGTTCATGGTAAGTTAAGTGAAAGAAAGATAACAAAACTGTATTTTCCCATTGAAAGGAAAAAATAGGTATAAGTGCAAATCAGTTTAGAGGAATATATACAAAAGCATTAATAGTGGCATTGATTGGTGATGGATTTATGGGCTCTAACATCTTATGTGTCTGTTTGTCAGCAGTGGGGTTGGACCTCGAGCTCTGTGTAGAGTAGGCAAGCACTGTCCCATGGAGCTACACCCGAGCCATCGCTGTATTTTTTGTTCTATTATTTTGTGCTGAAATGTTAGCCCTGTATACGAAGAAATCATTTCTCACCAAAACCCTTGATGGGAGCTGGGGTTATAGCCAGTGGCACAGCACCTGCCTGGTGTGAGTTTGATCCCTGGTACGAAAAAAACAAAAAGCAAAAAACTTGACAGCTGTTTTTCTAGCATTCGTAATATCATTTGAGTTAGTAAATTATGTTTGAGCAAAGTCAAAAAGTACTTGATTAGAGCTTTTTTTTTAATGTGGAAAGTCCTTTCAACTCTTCCCATTTGCAATTGTTTTTCAGGGTGATGATGACGCTTACATGTGTATCCATGAAGATCAGATGGTGCACATACAGCCTGCCCACTTGACAGGCCGAAGTCACCCTGTGATGGACTCCAGGGTGAGTGTGAACATCTGGGTCCCTCCTTCTGGCCGCCCACCATTCATGTCTGTGGCCGTCATCTGCTGTGTGGCTGTCAGGGACACAGCTGTGCGAGACTCTTCTAGGAAGCCCTAGGGAAGGGATCTGGCAGCAGGGTTTCTCTTGAAATGATCTGAGTAACTTCCTTCCCCTCCCCTCCCCTCCCCTTCCCTTCCTTCCCCCTTTCTTCTCTTCTCTTCTCTTTCCCTTTCCCCTTCCCCTTTCCTCTTCCATTTCCCTAACCCCTCCTATATTTCTTCCTCTCTTTTGAGCAGGGTTTGCCTGTGTAGTTCAGGCTGGACCTAAACTCACTTTGTAGCCCAGGCTGTCCTTGAACTCACAGTGTTCCTCCTGCCTCAACCTTCTGAGTGCTGGGATTACAGGCATGCACCACCATGCTTTCTACACTTTAGAAAGCATAAAACAAAAGTTTCTTTTGTATGGAAATGTGAAGTCTTGCTTATACCACTTAGATCCTTTTTGCATCTGCTTTTTTTTTTTTTTTTTAATGCTGGTTTTATTACCATAGTCAGAGTATTAGCCCTTTTCCAAAAGCTTACTTACATTTGTAAGAAGAGTCTTATGCTGGTAACAGAAAGATTCCTTGACAGTGAGGAAGAGGAACACGTATGGTAAAGAGTGGTCCCTTGGGCAGTTGTCTTTCTTCAGTGCCCTTTGTGGGCAGCTGTGCCAGATGTAGACCTTTTCTGTAGAGAAATGTCTTTTTCACAGGACAATTGACAAACGAATGAGCTCTGAAGGCACAGTAGCTGTTAGTTAGTTAATAACATAACAAATGAGGTCTGTCTGAGCAGGCGTCCGGATGACAGTGCTGCTCTAGCTCTCCCACAGGGTGACTCTCAGCTGGCTGGGAAGCTCTCCCCAGTTGCATATTGCATTTTGGCCCCTGAGGTATTATGATTGTTTCTTCAGTGCTTTTGACTGAGTACTAGTAGACAGATGGAGTTAGTGTATCTGCTAAAGTTTCTAACTGGGAAACTGTAGAGCTCTGGCTTAAAGTAGAAATAATATTTCTTTCCAAGTGGAATAAAGACAAATAAATTGGGGGGGGGGAAATGATTTTTGTAGTCTTTGCAGAGGAAGCAAAAACAATGGTACTGCAGACAAAAGACGCACCTATGGTCATAGGGAAAGGAAATTGAACATGTCAAGATTTTGAGCTTGTCTTATTTTTAGCAAATTTTTGGAAAGTGCTGAGAGGACTCATTGTGTGTGTGTTTTTAGGGTCCTCTTGAGGATATGGCTTGGAGGTTGGTGGACGGTATTATGCAGTGTTCTTTCAGAAGAAAGATTGTCCTTCCTGGGGTTAAGAATAGATTTGATCTAAACACAAGCTACTACATATTTCTCGCAGAGGGTACAGCCTCTGATGGTAAGTATATTGATAAATGTTTTCTTTCTCCCCTCTTTCCCTTTCTTCCTATTTTACAGACTATTACAATTGCTTATTTTTAAGGTATATATTTGTGGGTAAAGAATTATAATCCTGTTTCAGATTGCTTGAAAATTTGACTTTTAGTTAACCTTTTAACTTTGTTTCTCTGAAAATCATATAAAGTATCAACTAGATGACAAGGTGACATTGTTTTGATCGGAGTGGCCTTTAGCTGGTGAAATATATTTGGATGAGCAAAACTTTAAATATCCTGAAAGAAGGAATCTTTTTGGGCTTTTCTGAGTGTACTGACATGGGTATCCTTTGCAGGGATCCTAAACATAGTACCTTCGTGGTGATTGCCAGAAATACTGGCTTTTTGAGGAACACCCAAATGCCCAGTATGAGTTTCATCTTAGACCTTAGCTGTCTATCTGCCCTGCTGGGGTAGTTGGTTTCCTGACCCACATCTTTTTAGTGAAGCTGATGCCTTGCAAGCCTAGCTTAGTTTTAGGAGTCTGAATGCTTGGTTTATTCCTGAAACACTACCTTGGTGTGTATTGCAACACATATTAACAGGAATCAGTTTTGTTCATGATCTTGGTTAATGATGTTTTGAGGAGCTGCAGGTTCCAGTATAATTTTCAGTCACTCATCTCTCTGAAAATAACCGTTGTCCCACAACTTTGAAAAAGTAGCCACCTTTGAAACTGGGGAGAAGATGGGCCCATGGGATGGATTGTCAAGGGCTGGAGTAATAGAAGAGGACCAGGAGATGTGGTGCAGGCAGAATTTTGAAAATCTTTGTGTTTTTATGGTTTAGATTTTCTACTATTGGTAGAGTGGAGTCTTAAAAAGGTTTGAAGTAGGATAAGATGTTAGTGTTAGAGAAAATTTGAGAAAATTTGTACGTGGGCCAGGTGTGGTGGTACAGCCTGTAAGCCCAGCATTGGGAGGCTGAGGCAGGAGGACTGCCATCAGTTTGAGGCAAGCTGGGCTACATAGCTAGTTCAAGGCCAACCTGGACTACAGAGTGAGATCCTATCTCAACAGCAACAACCAAAAAAAAAAAAAAAATTTGTAGATCGCTGGTAGATAACATGCATAGTTATCCTGGTTAAATCACGTAGTCTTATTTGCACTGGCAACAGAAAATATGGCTTGAAAATTTCTTGGTTAAGTGATAACAATGTGTAAAAATTACTCAGTGTTTATGGCATGCCAGTCAGTGACTAAGCATTTTATATAAATTTAGTTTTACTTTCAGAAAAAAAAAACAAACTTAAATATGTACTATTCTTGCCTCAGAGAAGAATTTGTCCAAAAGTAAGTGATAGAACTTGTACTAAACTCTTTGACTTTGGAACCTATGAATTCAGTATGTTAGGACATGGAAAATATGGGAAATGAATTTTTAACAAGGAAAAGGTCAGATGTTGGTGTTTAGTTACTGCTAAAGTACCATCATCACCACTGTCATCATCATCATCCTCATTGCTATTGATTGCATATTGTATGTATCTCATTTATTTCTCAAAGAGCCTTTATAAACAGGTATCATGTGGGCCATTTGAGAGAGAAGGAAAATGAGACTTAGAAAGGCCAAGCAAATTGTTCTGAATCAAACCTGTAGCAGAAAGAAGAATTAAACTCAGACCTTCTCCAGGGCCTTTCCATCATGCCAGGCTGCTTCCTTGGAACGTTGTAGGCTTTCCTTATATGATTCCTGACTCAAGTGGATTTCCTAAACTGCTGATTTAACAGTTTGTGTGCATACTTTTTAAAGTTTTACACTTAAAAAAAATTATACTTCCAAAGAAAAGCAATTTCATTAAAGTGGAAGGATTCTGTTGTATAATAAATTGCATGTGAGGCTGGGGATATAGCTCAGTGGCACAGTGCCTGCCTGGCAAATGCAAGGTCATGAGTTCGATTTCCGGTACTCCCCCAAAAAACTGTAAAAGAGAATAAATTACATGTACTCATTGGTGTATGGGAAGGCCAAAAAGATTTTCATAGATCAGGATTATACATTTTCTGGCAGAAACAGTGTGTTAAGTGATAGTTTTAATAGTTAAAAAAAAAAAAACCTAACAAATGGATGATACCGTGGTATATAGGGAATACAGGATTATCTCTCTTACTTTCTGCTGGTGTTGCTGTCCTGATAGGGCGGCCAGGAGGATCTCTGTTTTATTTTTGGGGGTTCTTGCATAAGCACCCCCTGAAGTGCTGAAATGCAGATTCCTGGATCCATCTCGGGTGCACCCAAACTTGGTGGTACTTAGGATGTGCACCTCAAGCATTCCTGCAGATTGTTCGTGTGCTGGAGTTTGGTAACCTGCTGCTCTAGGGAAGGGTTCTCCCTTACTAGTGTGCACAGCAGAAGACAGTCCAGGGATAAAGACAATAAATAATACTGCAACTTTCTTTTGTATTTATTTAATCTCATTTAAATTTTCTTATTTCACAGTGTCTGTGATATATTAAAACAATAGTATGTGAATATGTGTATTAAAAATATACATATATTGGTAGCCCATGGTTACTTCTTTAAAAACTAGTAGCATGACAAGCAAATGAAACAAACAAACCTCCTCAAGAAACAGAAACGGAGATTATTTACAGGGAATTCATTTTGTAAGTTTTTTAAGCTGGAAAGCAAAATTGCAACATAAATCATTAGTTTTTCTACTACTTAGCTATATGTATATGGATCATTTATAAGTTGAACTTTGATTAAAAGTGGTGAGACTTTATAAGGTTTAAACCATTTTTCAAAGCAATCATATGATCTTTGTAACCCATATAAATTTTAAAGGTACCTGGTGTCTTAGTTACTTTTTATTCGTTGCTGAGACAATATATCTGATGCCCAAAGCTGGGAAAGGAAAGGTTTATTTCTTACAGTTTTTGGAGGTTTCAGTCTATACTCAGCAGGCTCCAAGGCAAGGTGGCATGGCAGCTCCGCAGTTCATGGTGGTTGCAAACAGCAAGGCAGAAACTGGCAAGAGAGAGACACATGCCTTCTTCCTGCCGTTGCATTGTATTGCGGGCCTCATCCCTTTGTGGGTGTAGCACTGACACCATCAATCCAAGCGCTATACAATGAACCAATCACAAATGCACAATACAAACACATGAAGCCTGGGGGCCACCGACATAAACCATAACACCTGGTTTTAATAAAATCTTGACAAGATCTATCCATTTAGAACCTTTTAAAGTGCTGTCTTTCTTGGAATACTGGCACTGTTCCACCTTGGGATGAATGGTTGTAAAATGCTGTGTTTAAATGGAAAGGTAGAAATCATTTGGGCAAATAAATATTCACAATTAAATCTGCCATTTAAATAATTAATGAAATACACCTTATTGTCACATGACCAGTTATTGAAACAATTTAAGAATGCTATGAGTCACATGCTGCCATGGATTCTTATTTTTAAGCAGGAGCTCAGCCTCTTAGACAACAGGCAATGGTGCCGTACAGTGAAATTCAAACTACATTTGGTTTCGTTTTCATGAAGATTAAATTCATGTTTAGTTCCTGGCTCATAGTGATTGTGCTGTGGGATTTTTATGTAGAGGAAGGGAATCCTGAGGCTTTTCCTGGAAGCAACTTTATTCAAGCAGGCACTGACTCTGGATTTACCTTCAAAGGCTGAGTACTGAACATGGCCCTGTTGGAAACTTTTATATAATTTTTGTGTCTTTGTCTCCCTTATATGGGTATACACTAACATTTTGCAGTCTGATTGGCTATACATTAGCATTCTACACTCTGGTTGGGTATGATTTATGTTTCAGAGTTACATTACAACTACATATACACAGAGGCTGATATTGTTACATTGTAAAAAGTTCCCACCCCAACATGTCAGGAGGGATCCTACCACAATTCAGAGTATAAAAATATGTCTTCAATAACTTGCCTCTTGCTATTGTTGTAATGTAAGCTCTTTTCTATTACTACCACCCCACTAACATAGGATTTTTAACTTCTTCATTGCCTTTCTTGTCATCATTTTCTTTCTGTCATTTTTGTAGCTCCTGACAGTTATCATCTCTTTTTTCCTGATACTCTCTCTTCTAGGCAGTCATTACATAAACCTCTTCTCATTTCTGCTTTATCTTTGAGCCTCTTTGTTGTGGTGTCCAGCATGGTGTCCTGATAGTTTTTGAATAATCCATTTTTTCTTCCACTGCTTCAAAAGCTTCTTTATTATATACTAAAATATCTGCCAATACACTGAACTATTTCTGATTTGCTTGTTTCCCATTGATCTGTTTGTCTATTCCTGGTCCTGTTGGAATTACTATAGCTTTATGGCAGGTTGTGAGTTTTTGTAGAATGTGTGTTCTCCTCTTTTAACAGTTCTTGTTTCTGTTGCAAATTAGTTCTTCGAGATGAACTTTAAAAATTATTTGTCAGACGCTATGAAAAATCTGTTCGAGGTTGGGATGGAAATTGCAGTGAAGTTTTAGATTAATCTGGGAGACTAATAACTTCTCACAATAGCAAGTCTTCTCATCCAAGAACATACTAGGACTTGCATTTATTCAGATCCTTGGATATGTGTCTTTCAGTGAAATTTTCTTCTCATCTTCAAATAGGGTTTCTATATTTTTAAATTTTTTTCTCCTTACGTATAATTTTTTTCAACAAATTAGTATAAGTGATGTTTTAAAATACATTTTATAAATTTGTTATTGTACATAAAACTTACAAATTTGTGATTATCTTGAATTGAGCCACCTAGTTTTCTAATTGATTATCTTGTATTTCCTAGATAAATGCCATATCCTGTGCGGTTAACCTCTGTTTTTTTTTTTTTTTTTTCCTTTTCTCACTGCGTTGACTACTTGTCCTAAGATGATGTAGAATGGCAGTGGTGATAGTCAGCATTTTGTGTTGTTCTTGATTTTGATGCACATGTTTCTGATATGTAATGCTTTTTCTCATGTGTGTTGCATTTTTCTAGTGGATGTCCTTTATCTTGTATTGTACTGGGGAAATGTTCTTCTATTCCTAGTTTTGTTAAAAGTTCATGTCTATTCATCCCTGTGTATCCAGAACTGTGGAAGGCTGACACAGAAGGATTGTAATTTTGAGCCCAGCTTAGGCAGTTTAGTGACTTAACGAAATTTCTCTCAAAATTAAAAAGAAAACGGATGGGCGGGGTGGGGTCAGGCATGCAGCTCAGTACAGAAAAGTGCATGTCATTCCTGAGTGCTGACTCTCCTGACATCTTTTGAGCATCTATTGAGATATTTCATTATTATGTTTATAGATTTCCAAATGGTGAGTGATCCTTATGTTCCTGAGATAAACCTTACTTGATGTCTTAGTTACTTTTCTCTTGTTGCTGACAGAAAATACTTGACACTCAAAGTTAAAGGAGGAAAGTTTATTTAGTTCACAGTCCATACTCAGCTGGCTCTGAGGCAGGATGCACATGGCAAACAGTTCATGGGGATGAAAGACAGTAAAAGCAACAAGAGAAAGAGAGACAAGCCTCTTCCTGTCTTTTATGTTGTACCCATTCTACTGGGATTAGGGTGGTGGCAATCCAATCAGTGGATTGGTCCAGAAATCACTCACTGAAGCCCAGCAATCTAAATCCCAGCATTGCACTACAATCAATCATGCACTCTGTAGAGTCAGCCACTTCCAAAAATAAAAAAATAAAATACTATGATTGTTCTCTGTTTTATGCCTATCTCTCAAAGTTTTTTTCTCCCCAGGAAGTAATTCTTCTCTATCATCTTTAATTATTGTTTTTTATAAATTTCAGGTCTAATTCATAAGCACACTCAGCAACCCTTGATTACGTACGAAAAACACGATGTGACGGCCTTTCCCAAGGACATAGGAGGGTCTCGCTCTTCCCCGCTCTTGAAGGCCCACGGTAAGTCCTGCATGGGGTGGTATTATTGCTCGAGGGAACAGGCTCCCTTGAAGACTCAGTGCTGGCTGGGTTAGGGATGGTGTTCCCATAATTGAGCAAATTTTTTATCAGTCTTCAGTGTTTAAACATTACCATGTGCAGGTAGATCATCTACCTTGATTTTTTCCTAATTTTTATAAAAAATGGGAAGTAGGGCAAATTCAGTGGTTTTAATGCTGGCTGCACATTAAAATCAGCACTAAAGCTTTTAAGGCATCAATAATTTTAAAAGAAATATCCTAACTATTTCTGATTGCAGCCAGGGTTGAGTCATTACTGTGTTAATTTGCCTAAGACTTTACTTGCTGCTTTTTGAAATAAATGTTAATAATAGAATGGTCTTATTTTTATTATACAAGAGCAGTGTGGTTTCAAAATATGGTTTTATTGGTGAAGAACTGGTCCACATACAATGACCAGAAGGTACACGAAACACTTGGTGCGTTGCTCAGGAGCCTTATGCTTAAACGAGGAATGGCACGGTGTCAGAAGCCAATGGCCAGCAAACAGCTCTCCTGTGCTCTGGTTCTATCAGTGAAAGTTGATTCCTTCTGAAAAGTAGTCTAGCTTCTTGTTGAAAAGATAGGACTTAAAGGTAGGACAGTATGGTAGATTATTCTAAACTCTTAGAAGACATTAGTATTTTGGTCTAGCTTTCCTTATTTGGGATACTGGTTTTATATTCCCCAGAGCTATTCAGAAGGACAGAGTAGCCATCAGAGGCACCACAGTTAAGCTTGAAAACTGCCTACTTACTGTTAATTTGATTCTGTTGTTAATGTGTTAGGCCTCTAGTTAGGCAGTGATTGGGCTTGGAGCTTACTTGTTTTGCATTGTTTTTGGGAGTGAAACGTGGGAAAATTCTGAAATGACTGTGGACAAGCTGTACAAAGTGGTTAAGAGCACAGTTTCTTTCAAATTTTTTTTGTTCTTTTTGTTAGTACATATTTGTATCATGTAATGATTACCTTCCTTGTGGGGAGATGGTACCTGTACATAACATAACCTCAATTCTTTTTTCTTTTCCTTTTCCTCTTCCCTTTCTTCATCTCATGATCTCATTTCATTTGAAAACGGTCTGTCTCCCAAGGGCTGGGGATTTAGCTCAGCGGCATAAGCACCTGCCTTGCAAGCAGGTGGTTGTGAGTTCGATCCCTGGTACCGATAAAAAAAGAAAAAAAAAAAGTCTGTCTCCTTATTTTCCTGTTGTTTAACTTTTATTTTGCTTTTTACTTATTTTTGGGTTTCTTGTAAAAGAGAAACTATGCAACTTTTAAGCTTTCATACGTTTGGTTTATTTCATTTAACATTATAGTCTCAAGGTGGATCCATTTTCCTTCATATGATTTAAATTTATCGGTTCTTAAGGCAGAGTAGTACTCCACTGTGTATAAACAATTTATTTACCTATTCCTTTGTTGATGGGTATTTAGGCCATTTCTGGTGTTGTACTGCTATAAACATGGGTATGCAAGTATCATTGTAGCATGATGTATTTAACTCCTTTGGAAAGATACGTAGAAGGGGAATAGCTGAGTGAAATGGAATAGTGTTAGTTTTTTGAGGAATCTCTATAATGATTTCCATAATGGTTGTACTACTTTACATCCCAGTCAGTGAGTAAAAGGATTCCTTTCCCCCTGCAGTCTCACCAGCGCTTGTTATTATTTTGATTTCTTCATGATAGCCATTCTCTCTGGAGTTAGATAGAATCTCAGTGTTGTTTTAATTTTTATTTCTGCAATAGCTAGAGGTATTGGACATATTTTCATGTATTTATTGATCATTTGTACTTTTTCTGAGAAACATCTGTCTATTTCAGTTGCCTATTTTTAAATCGGTTCTTTAAATTGGTGGGAGTTGTCTAAGTTTTTGAGTTCTTTATGTATTTTAGTCTTCTATTCAAGGAATAGTTGGCAATTTTTTTTTCCCATCTTGTAGACTGTCTTTTTTTTGTCTTTTTCATTTTTATGGGTACCAGGGATCGAACTCAACCGCACACTTGCAAGGCAGGCGCTTATGCGGCTGAGCTAAATCCCCAGCCCCTGTAGACTGTCTTTTTACTCTGTTGCTTGTGTTTGAATTGTGACCTTGTAAATTTGGGCAAGCTGTTTAATTTGCTTTAGTTTCCCCACCCAGAAAAACTGGAATAATACCTCGGTTTTAGGTACTAGCTGAATACCTCATAGGATTGTTGTAAATCAATCTGTTTAGTGCACTTAAAGCACCTTGAGCTCTTGCCATGTAATGGGGGCTCTGGAGGTGCTTGCTGTTTGATGTTACAATGCTGGGTAAAACTTACAATGCATAGGGGTTTTTAGGTCATGCTTATGGATGCTAAATGTATTTTGCTAGCTGATTTTACTTCTGAGCATTTGGCCTTGTGATTTAAGACATTGCTTCATCAGTTGTGATGTATTTTTTTCACCTGTAGGTGCCTTAATGTTTGTGGCATGGATGACGACTGTTAGCATAGGTGTGCTGATTGCCCGGTTCTTCAGATCTGTCTGGTCCAAAGCTTTCTTCTTTGGGGAAGCATTTTGGTTTCAGGTAGGTACTGAGGAAGAAAACATGAAACAAAAGCCAGAAAACAAACAATGCAGTTTTCATATTCAACATTACAACGTAAACTGTGCAGGTTTTGTGCTTTACAGTTATTGGGTGTAAATCCTCCTCCCTTCTTTTCTTTCTTGCTTAACTGAGAACAGACATTAGATATTTGCTAGAGAGGCAAATGACTGGAGAGTGTGTCAGGGCCATGTATGTCACTGTGACATGGCCCTTGGCACCCAAGCGACCCTTCCTTACACCTCTGTTGGTGTCAGAATAGCGTTCACCGCCACTCTGAGTAAAGATGAGGCACGGAGGCCCCGTGCAGAAGGAAGATTCCTGCGTGTCTTGATGGGCAGTGCAGGTGGGGCTGCCCCTGACTTGGCAGCCAGGCTCACCCATCTCCTGAGTCAGCGGGAAGAGAAACTAGAAATGTTCTTTGTGTCACCCCTTCCCGTGGGACCAGCACACAGTTTTCTAATCGGAAGATAAGCAGAATCATAAATAGGAAAGCGTGGGCTGCAGCCTGTCAGTATTTGCATATTCAGTGGAGGAACAATGCATATGTGTTGAGTTAGAATGCACCTACCTGCCTGTAGGAAGAATACGCTGAAAGAATGGTTTAGACTTTGTTAGAGGACATTCTTCAGGCTTCATATGAATTTGTAGCATTTAAGGTGTATACCAGGTATCCAAAGCTTCAGGTGACACTGCCATAGTATGCTCTTGATTTGTACAATGGATCGTATGCTTCCTGTTTCACGTATTTACTTGGTTATATCCCAAGCTCCTTAAGAGACAGCGTCTGCTGTTTCCGTGCTGTCTCATTGTACGTGTGGTAGCACAGAGCTTGTGGTGGACCTTCACAAATGTCTTTGGAAGGAAATGAAGGATTTGGCAAGCCAGTGCACTTCACGTGTGAAATAGCCATTGCCACTGCTCTGTGTGTGTGCGTGTGTGCGTGTGTGTGTGTGTGTGTGTGTGTGTGTAAGAGAGTTTTAGTAAATACTTTTGAATGGCAGCGATGGAAGTTTAGGGTGCTGTTTAATATTGGACCAGGGGTACGGCTCAGTGGCTCAGCAGCTGCCTGGCAAGCACGAGGTCATGGGTTTGATTCTCAGTAAAAAAAAAAAAAAAAAAAGGAAGAACAGTTTAATGTGTAGTAAAATTTTATTTTCACTGTCAATAAAAGGTGGCTAGATGTCAGCTGAATGCAGGCCTGCGGGACGCCCACCCCTGATCTTTCCCGTGTGACGCCAGCACTTCCCCTCACTTTGTCCTCTCTCCTTGCAGCTGCATCGGATGCTCATGCTTACCACATCGGCGCTCACCTGCATTGCTTTCATTCTGCCTTTTATATACAGAGGAGGCTGGAGTTGGGTATGTATATCTCAAACAGGGTTTCTAATACAGTCCATTTTGACATCAAACAAATTCTTTCTTGTGCTCAAATGATGAGTAAAAAGACATTCGTCTCAGAGTCTGTCTTTCTATTTCAAGTCACCTGAAGGTAGTCGCATAAAGTCAAGGGTCAGTGGTCTAAAGTACATATTCTTGGGTACTGCAGTGACTTTAATCAGCATCAGATATGCACATTGTAGTTTTACTGAGTTTTATGATGATAGAGTGGTTAAAATTTAAAGTGTGATATCTAAGGAACGTGAATAATGGAGGTGGTTTTCTCTAACTAGTACTATGATTGCTACTCTGCTAACATAAACTTCATATTCTTAGTATGTGGCCAGCTGTTGCAAGGGCTTTATATGCGCTATCAAATTTCCATCCCAAATGAAGCAGATATTAATAATATGACCAGCGATGAAGAAACTGAGGCTATTCCCAGGGTTTTCTTTCTAGTTAGAGCTCTTCCTGGCCTCACAAATTTATCATAAGCAGAGCCGAGGACATGTACTGACATTCCTAGGACCTCTCAAGCTTGACAAGTCCAAAATGGAATTCCTCATCGTTTCTTGCAATCCTTCTGTCCTGAAGTGCTTCCTATGTGAGCTGACAGAATTCCATCTTTAGCCCAAAACCTGGGACTGATCCTTAACTGGGCTCTCTTGACACCTCGTGTGAGATCCATCAGGAAATCCCGTCACGGCGTTTACGATCCATTCACGATTCTGTACTTCTCCCCACTGCTCTGTACTGTTCTGTGAGTTCGAGTGGCCACATCATTGTACTTGACAGTAGCCATCTAACTTGTGTCTTCACTTCAACCTTTGCACAGGTACAATCTCTTTTCCACAAAGAAGAATGATTAGAGAATAGGAGAGGGAAGTGTGGTATTTTAGAGAAAACCACATCATTCTTGTGCCCCAGACCGGTTTCTCTAATTTTCCCGTTTTATTTGGAGTAAAACCTGAAGTCTTTCAGGTGACCGCTGTGATTTGTCTCCCAGTTACTCTCTTCTTCCTTTCTGTCCTGTTCATCTCGTCCACCCTGACCTCCTTGCTGGAGTGTAGACAGGCTGGGCGTGAGGTCCTGTTTCTGTGGTGTTGGCCGCGATTCTTCTGAAGCTTCTCTTTTTCTCACCTCCTTCAAGTCATTGCACAAATAATGACTTCTCAGAGAGCCCTGATCTACTGTTTTTTTCTATTATAACATCTTTATCTAATATTGTTTCATATATTTACATATTTGATATGCCTTGTCTTAGTTTGTAAGCACTGTGAGAGCTGGGATATTTACTGGTCTATTGCTGGTGTGTCCCAAACACCTTTGAAAGATTCTGGTGCACCAAGCCAGCGCCTGGTGTCTGTTTAGGCAATGGATGAGTGCGTGGGTCTGTTGAGAATAAGTCACAGACCTCAGGTCAGCCCGTGCTGCTATTGGATTAGCTAAAGCTTTGATATTAAATTTAATACTCAGAGTTTGAACCGGTGCTACAGGAAGAAGTATGATTCAAGTCAGAAATATTACTAGGAAACTTCTCTCCTACTTTTAACTAGTTTATGAATCAGTCAACCAATTTTAAAAAGACATTTTGGAGATTTTTTGGTATGAATTGAGACATTCTAACCTTATTTTATCTGTTATTTGGTGATTCTGTAGCTTTTGTATTTTATGACTAGGATGGTACAGATATCCCTCAGTATCTGTATGGAATTGGTTCCAGGATGGCCTGGGGTTACCAAAATCCAGATGCTCAATTTCCATATAAAAGGCATATAACCTACATTCGTCTTCCCATATATTATAAATTATGTTTGGATTACTTATAATACTCCTAATATGATGTAAGCACTATATAGATAGTTATTATACTGTATTGTTTAGGGAATAAGGACAAGAAAAAATGATCTGTGTATACTCAGTATAGATGCATTTTACCCCCAAATACTTTTTTTTGCAAATACTTTGAATTGATGGTGGACTCCATGGATGCAGAGTTCACAGACATGAAAAACTGGCTGAGTAAAGGTTAAAGACTTTCTTCTACAGGCAGTTCCTAGGTTCAAATCCTGGCATCACCACTTATTTTAGATACCTTTGGGCAAGTTATTTAACCTCTGTCCCTCAGTTTACCCATCTGTGAAATGGGAACAGTGTATATCTCTGTCACAGACTTTCTGTGAGGACTGGGGTTAATTGTGCAGAATCATGCAGAACTTAGGGTAGTTCCCAGAACATTCTATGTCTATATAAGAGTTTTGATATTTCTTGCTGTTTCTTTTTTTATTAAAAAGCATCCCTTTATATCTCTACAGTGTTGGTTATAATTTTACCCATGTATAACCGAGTCCATGCTTGGAAAGTTTTTTTTTTTTTTTTTTAATATATTGCTCATTTGTCAGTCTTTAGTTCTTATTTACAAAGACTTCCTACTATGGCCTGCACATCACTGTGTCCCTGTTTTAGGTGGTAGATTTACAGCCTACGGGAGCCACAGACCATAGCATCAGTCAGGGTACCTAATTTTGTCACAGGTAGAGACTTTTTGGCCCTCCTCTGAAGTGGTTAAGTGGAATCGTCATACAAAGTGGTCACCTTTGCTACTGCCGTTTTGAGCAGCACCCGCTGTCCCAAAGACAGGAGTGTTGCAGAAACTATTGAGATTCTAGGTTGGTTCTCTTTTGTCTTCTTGAGTTAAATCTTCATTCAGCACAGAGCAGACAAGCTTTAGGACAGGGGTTGTACAGATTATTTACTTAACAAACATTTTTTGTGTGAACAAGACGTTTCAGCTCTGGAATGACAGTAGATCATGCAGAACTTATAGCTTGGAGAAACACAGTGCTCTAAACAAATGATTACGGCACACTGAGGCGATTGCTCTTGACATGCGGGCACACACAGACCTCCCTGGGCTGTAGATGGCTGTGGTGTTGGTCAGTAACACCCTTATGGCGGGGAGCAGTATCCTACACATGGACTCCATCACAGCCATTTACACACTGTGTGGGCCTGGACACGTTACTTGGTATCTCTGAGTGTCAGTTCCCCCGTTTCAAAATTGGGATACTGATAAGCAGCAGTCAGGCACTGCAGAAAGCATTAGTGGGAATGGATGGGAAGTGCCTGGTACACGGTAGAGACTCAGTGGATGTTGCCCATCCTCATCACCATCATCACCATCATCATCAAATGTATGTGGATAAAGCCATGGGAAAACCCAAACAATACGTTTACATACATTGTTTTTAACTCGAGGATTTAAATTGATAAGTGAGACCGAGAATACTAAAGCAGCCTAACTTTGTCTAGCACGCAGGTTACCACCCATACCTCGGAAGTCTAGTGATGGCTTTAGCTGTTCTGCAGCCTCTTCTGGCAGCCTTCAGGCCACCTGTTCATGACCCAAGGTACTCACGGCGTTTATATATTTGCTCTCAGTCTAGATAGCATTAGTTGGCAAACAAGTTCTTTTTTCTTTTTTTTGTCTTTTTCATTTTTATCGGTACCAGGGATCGAACTCAGGACCGCACACTTGCAAGGAAGGCGCTTATGCCGCTGAGCTAAATCCCCAGCCCCAAACAAGTTCTTTTTTAAGTGGAAGCAATTTTAACTTTATAAAGTTAAAAGAAATAAAATATGGTGATAAACTGTATTTACTTTGAAAAGCTTTAAAATATATTTCAGATATCTAATTCCTAGGCAATCAGGGAAATCACTTGCTTTTTAATTCCTTGGGAATTAACTGTCATTCCATCAAGATTAAAAATACTGATTGATCCTTCATTTTCGTAGAAGGCAAATATTTAACTGGACTCACTGGAGTGTGGGAACAGCTGCTAGGATAATAGCAGGTAAGTAATTGCGATACCACTTATATATAATTGCCGGTTGCTTCCATTGTAAATTGTAATCTGGCTTAAATGATTTTTAGACACATTAGTAATTGGAGTAATTGGCTGTTGAGGAGAAAACAGCCTTAAACATTGAAATCCAGAAAGTAATTTTTACAGGTAACAATTTAAGTCATTATTTCAGGTTTAAAATTCAGGTTTTAAAATAACTTTAAGATTCTTGTTAAGATTTTTTTTCGTGTGTTTTCTTTGCCTGTAGAATAAACTCTGCTAATAAGCAAACATTTGAGCAGTTCAGAGTGAGGATCATTTTGTGAGTTGGGTTAAGGGGGTTGTGGGGCCCGTGCCCCCGACTCAGGTCATTTCCACAGAGCTTGTTCCACCCTCAGAGGTGGTTTGCCAGAGGCAAGTATGATCATTTAATATCTTTGATTCTTTGTATAACGAACCCCAAAGCAGGTGCATTTCCGTCGTCTGTGGGACGCAGTAAGGAAAAGGGAATATAATCAGCTGTGGGTTCCTTACTGTTCTCTCTCTCTGTCTTTGTCTTTTTGAGACAGGGTTTGGCTAGGCAGTTCAGGCTGACCCTGAACTCACTTTGTAGCCCAGGCTGGCCTCAGATTCGCAGTGATCCTCTTGCCTCAGTCTCTGAGTTGTGCTGGGATTACAGGAGTGCACCACCACACCTGGCCTCTCCCTTCCTACATTGCAGACTTAAAATATTTTAGAAAATTTGGGTGCTTCTTTTTCAACAACTGAGAGATCATAATTATAATTTCCTGTCTTGACCCATGTAGTGTCACAATAAAAAGACTAAATTAATTACTTATCCTTAAATATTAATCTTATTTCATAAACTTTTAGTATGTTTTAATTGATATAACACACACATACATAAGTATGTCTTTCTGTGGGAACTAAACTTCTTTTTTCTTTTACACTTAGTGGCAGCAATGTTCCTAGGGATGGATTTACCAGGACTGACTCTTCCTGACCCACAGAAAACCTATGCAATGATTGGATTTGTCATCTGGCACATTGGGACTGAGGTTGTTCTGGAGATACATGCGTACCGACTCTCTCAAAGAGGTCAGCTGCTTGAAGAGCATTTTTTTGGTGGAATCCCTTTTATACAAACTTTTGAAATACAGTTCTAACTTCCTGGTACTAGTAGTTGAGTATTGCATGGTAGATCATTAATAATTTCTGGTGTGATTACTTAGTCTGTGGCAGAAGTTGCGAGTATTGTTTGCCTTTTTCTTTAAGTGTACATTAGTTTTAGAATTTGTGAGTAAAATGTAAGAGAAATAGTTTAGCTTTTAGAGAAGTCTTTTTGATAAGTACTTTCACTTTGCATGCTGATCTGACCTGGAGCCAGCACACACTGAGAACTTTGAATGACTGGCACTGAGGGAAACTGAGATGGAGAAATGGAAAAGCTGGGTCAACAGAGGGCGGAGGTGCAGGCAGATTTTACCTGTTTGACAGACTTACCATGTGCTCTTCCTTGGATGGCAGTGTCCGTAAACTGGTAGCTCATTAGGACCCACTTTGCCTGTGCTGTCTAGTGTGGTAAGGTCTGGTTTAGCTTTAGTGCTAGGCGGACCCAAGTTACCTGTAGCCATAGTGAAGAACTTGGTTGATTCTAGGCTCAGTGTCTTCTGCATCCCGTCTCATTTTCAGCCCCTGAAATTAATGACCTTCTAAAAAAAAGCAAAAACTCTCTGTTGCCTCGTGTACATGTTGTGAATCTAGGAGCCTGGATCTTTTAGGAGCCAAATAGTAAATACCTGCCTACCACTTTTGGATCTTGGCAGGGTTATATACACGGGACTTTTGATGATCACTGAATTATGGCTTACTTATTACGCGCTAACAATTTGAATTGTTATATGTTAACTGGGTTGCTTTTACTACTAGTGTATAGTGGTATACACTATATGAGAACATCATGTGTATATTACAAGTATGTACAATTTTACTTACTAATTAAGAAAGTAAAAATTAAAAAAAAAAAGCTTAGCATGCTAAGATTTTGGCCTGGTATTTATGTCCTTGAAGAGAGTTTTTAAAAGTTTTTTTTTTATCAAATGTGTGCTGTGGTCCATTTATCTCAGTTTGTGAGAACTTTCAATATTTGGGTTTGCAACATTTAGGCTCTTGAAATGGAGAACTTATTCCCTAGAAACTGGTGAACAGTTAGAATCTGGTTTTATTTTATTTTATTTTTTGAAAGTTTACCTGCATAACACTGCTGTCCTTACAAATTTATGTTGTTCTTGACAGTCGAAATATTGGATGACGACAGAATTCAGATCCTTCAGTCAGTCTCGGTATCCGAAGCAGAGGTAAGTTGTCGTTTTCTTGCTTATTGACACAACCCTTAATTTTGGTACTTTGTTTTATATCTCAATTTTTCTTTCAGGGCCGTACTTTTAAAAAGGCAGTGTTGGCAGTTTATGTCTGTGGGAATGTGACTTTTCTCATCATATTCTTATCTGCGATCAACCATCTATGAACAAGAAAAGGATTTTTGTGGTCTTGGTGATAATTATCATCAAATCAAAGAAACTTGAAGCTTGTATTGTTTGTCTGGAGTATATGCATGAATTTCAATTTGGAAGACCAAGTTTGTGTCTACAGAGGAATTTTGATGTCTGGTTTTTAGAGATGAAATTCAGTAGGGTCATATAAACCATAAACTGATGTGAAACTGTATAATTCTGCATCTTAAAGGTAATTTTGCAGTTGAGGAGAAGTGGCTCTCAAATATTTCATGCCAAGATTGTAGGAACGTTAGTGTTTAAAAGAATAAATAAGAATAATCTGGACAAACAAAACAGATGCCATATGAAGTGATTGTATTAAGGTAAAATATTTTGGAATATAAAGCTGCTGTGGTACTCTAAAGACAATGTTTATTTTTACTAATTTATCCGAATAGTGGTTTGGGTTTTTTAAAATAAAGTTATGTTTTTGGGGCATTTTATTTGCTCTGTACTTCTATACTTCTGAGGTTAGAGACACAGGTGGGATTGACCCAATGTAGATTTCATTAACATTTATATATTATTAGTAGTATAATTCCTGTGTTAGCAGTGAAATGCAAGTAGATGTTTTCTGCTTACAGAGATTATTTATTTATTTAGCTACATGATTAATTGTTTTGACTATATAGTTTAAGACAGCGACGTTTGAACATTGCAAACTTGTATTTTAAAATTAGTAAAACTCATCTTTGTGCTCGTATGTAACAGTTGTTTTATTCGTTTTTGAAAATAAAATAATATGGTAATTTTCTTTGGTAAGAAGTTCCTAATGCTGTAATGAATCTGCAGAGTCAGTGTTATTTTCTTTGTTTCAATAATTTATCTTCTAATTTTATCACTGTCTCATTTGCTATAAGGACTTCTAGCCAGTGGGTGGCGCTGTAATACTGAAGTTCTTGGTTCTTGTTTTTCTGTGCTGTGATTCACTTTTTTAGTGCTTAAAAATTAGGGGACAGAATTTTCCCTACATTCTACCAGCTTTTCTTAATCTTTATTTGAAATATTTCTGCATCTTCTTATTGAGTTGGAGTTATGGATGTAGAAATTTGAATCAGGGACAAGTGTTATTTTTGAATTTAATTTCTCTGTTTTTTTTAAAATAACAATTGTTCGGTATTTCCTTTTATATTCCTTTACATATCCTGAAGCAAATGAACATAATTATCTTAGGCAAAAGAGACAAGAAAAATAGTACAGTTTTTTCTGGTACCAGGAATTGAACTCAGGACCTCATGCTTGCTAGGCAGATGCTATGCTGTGAAGCTAAATCCCAGCCCTAATAGTATATTTTTAAAATAAAAAGTTTAAGGCTGAGGATTTAGCTCTTTAGCTCTTTTTTTTCTGATTATGTTTTACTTTTGGCTTGAACCTAATTTCTGTCTGTAATAGCTGTGTGTCCTACAACATTTGCTGATAACATAATGTGGAAGTCTTGTTTTTATTTCTTATATAGATGGTTAGCACAAATACCTTAGAGTTTTTGTTATATAGGTGCCAACTACCTGTAGTCAGACCCTTCCTGCCAATGTCTAAGTTAAAAAAATTAGTATAGCAAATAAAATATGTACTAAAACATTTTCCGTATGTTTTCTGTTATAATGGGCTTAAAGGCTAACAAATTTTCCTTTATAAATTGTATTCTGTATCTGACAGGAAAAATTTGTTTAAGGGAAATATGACTCTTGGCCATGTTTGATTTGAGTTTGCTGGATTTCTAGTGCTGAGGTAAAAAATCATAGCTTTTTCTTTTTTACTGATTCATATCGTTTTGTTGTTAACTGCCCCAACTGACAAAGTTGTCAAAAAACATAGTTGTCACTTACCCCCAAATGTTTTAAAAGTTTTATTTTATGAAAAAATTTCAAAATCAAATAATAAGAAAGTAACAGTAGTTATAACACTGTGTGTCATTATTTTCAAAGTAGTTACTCAGAATACAAGACTTCAATCAAAAAGATTCTAAATTAGTATAGCCACTGTGGAAACCATCGTAGTTATTCTTCAAAAAACAAAAAATAGACATTCCATTTGACCTAACGTTTCCCTGTCTAGTTGTCTTCCCCAGAGAGTTAAATCATCATATTAGAGGGATACACATGCTTATCCTTGCTTATACTACCAGTTTAACTTACTTTGTTGAAAAGAAACACTTGTTAATATGTTTCTTTTTTTCCTTTGTAAAAGTCTAAATCTTTCCAGTAGCACCAAGTTATGATTTTTCTGCTTATGAATGATTGGTACCCACAAATTTCAAGTATTTATTGTTCACTCCTGTCAGTTTTTGTCTAGTAAACAGTCTGGATAGTTTTAGAAATTGTTTTTTCTTTAGCAGTGGCTCTTCTTTTCCTCACCTTTCCCGTATGTTCGGTGGCAGTGGGATAGGAAGCAGGTCATCTGGAACCTGAAAGGACGGGAAATTGGAAGACCAAAGGATCTGTGTTTGCTTGTTGATTTCCAAACTGCATAATGCTCTCTTCCAAACTGCTTAATGTCTCTATATTTTAGCAACATTGCCCAAAACAGTGAGCAAAATAATTAAGTTTTCGTAAAGAAGCAATGCTCTATAAATTAAGATCAGCATGTTTTTCAGGAAAAAAAAAAAAAAAAGAAACTAATTCTAGAAAATTGTGGGTAGGGTAGACTTTTTGCTTTTATTATTTTCAAGTCTATGTAAATCAGTCTTAAGGGCATCGGTGGTATAGAGCTTGAGTTATCAGATAAGGAATCAGTGAATAGTGCATACTTAGTGTTTAGGGTTTTTTGGTACCAGGGATTGAACTCACACCTTTATGCTTAGCAGGCAGGCACTGTGCCGCTGAGCTGTATTCCCAGCCCCGAACTTGTTTTTTCAGGCGCGTTGGCTGTGGTATGTGTCCCATGGTATCTCCTCCTTCCTCAGGCCCCAGTGCAGGCCTGGGAACAGACAAACACAGTAGTTACCCACCAGGAAGTCTTAGGGGCACGTGTAGCTCTTGGCTGACATTCCCTGCTGAAGTGCAGGCAGGAGAACAAAGGTCCTTGTTTAAGTTAATCCATTATAGGTGGAAATGAAAGGAAATACTCTACTAAATTTTCTTCAAACCAGGGTAGGCTACTCATTTTTCCTCTTGGTCCTGTGCTTCTTTCTTCCTTGTCCGTTTCCCAGCAAGCTCATCTGTGCGTCTGTGTCATTTTTTGATGATTACCTGTGTGCAGTGCCATTTCTCCTCTTTCCCTGGCAGGAGCTGGCTTCTCAGTGTTAGCCCAAATTCTGCTCCACAGAACCTTCCCTGACTCTTTTTCCCACTTGGCTCTTCTTTTCCTCACCTTTCCCGTATGTTCGGTGGCAGTGGGATAGGAAGCAGGTCATCTGGAACCTGAAAAGGACAGGAAATTGGAAGACCAAAGGATCTGTGTTTGCTTGTTGATTTCCAAACTGCATTCATGGACAGTCGCCTACCTCCGGTGCAGCTCATCTCTCTGAGCAATGACGAGGATGGAAAGAAGTGACCCCCGTCATGGGGGCTTGTTTTCTACATTACTGTGATGATGTCTTCACTGCTTGGCTATAGTATTAAACCTTAACTGTTTTTGTGTATAAAATGTGCAGTTTATATTATATAAAAATATTTGATGTTCGTCTTGAAAACATGGGCTAAATGAAATGAGCTGGACAAAAATGACAGCTGTTGTATGACTGCACTGTGTGGTACCTATAGTCAGATATGTAGAGATGGCAAGTAGAATGGTGTTTACTGGGGTGGGGGGCAAGGGGACGGGTGTTTTTGTTTAGGTTGAAAAGTGCTAGACACGTGTAGTGATGATGGTTGTACAATACTGTGAATATATTTAGAACTGTATGCACAAACATTGTTAAAGTGGGAAAAAAGAAATAAATAGTAAAAATGGAAAAATCTGTATAATAGCAGTATTCATAGCCAAATGATGGTGACAACTCCATGTGATTGTTATTGGATGAATGGATTATGTTATATACATACAATGGAACATTGTTCAGCCATAAAAAGAAGTAAAGTACTGGTACCTGATAAAATGAACCTCCAAAGTATGATGCTAAGTAAAAGAAGCCACAAAGTTTACATGTTGCTTGATATCAATTATATGAAATATGCAGGATAAGTAAGTACATAGAGACAGAAAGCAGCTTGATGGCTGCCATGGGCCAGGGCTGAGGAGCCACGAAAGGAAATCCTGGGGAGTGATCAGGCTGGAAAATGTTTCAGGACTAGAAAGAGATGGTGGTTACACAGCAGTGTGAATGGAAGAGATGCCACTGACCTGTCCTTTGTGAAATGGTGGATTGTATAAGCATTTTAGCTCAGTAAAAGGAATATTTGACTTATTTCTGTTCTTGAAAGTGTCTTAGTCACTTTCTCAACCCTGAGACGCAGTACCTGACACCTACACTTGAAAGGAGGAGAGCTTGCTCTATTTTAGGTCATGTTTTCAGTCCATTGGCTGCAAGGCAGAAGCACCGTGGTGGAAGGGCCTGCACAGAGGGCAGCTGCTCAGGTCATGGAGGCCGGGCAGCAAAGAGGATGAAAGCAAAGAGGATCCAGGAAGGTAGACGGACCCGTCCAGGTCACACCCCAGTGACCCTCTGATTAGGCTCCATCTCCTCACAGCACCTCGGCTGCTGATCCCCTTCCAGAAGACCTCCCTCTGAACTCCTGGGACTAGGGGCATGTTCCAGGTCTAAACCATAACAAAACCTTTGGGTATTTCCCTGTTCATGGACTTGGTGTAAGCTTAGTGTCTTATTTTGTTATCAAAGAAGTAAGTGTGATTGTTTCATGCCTGGTCTCCCGGTCTTGGGAAGAAGAGGGTCCTGCTGCACATGCTTAGAAGTGCATCTTTTCCGTAGACAGAATACTCACACATAAAAACATTGTACTGTTCGCTAGGTTACCCCTGAGGACCTAAATGAGTTTTTTGATTATTCATCAGATACTGATATATGGTAATCAAACTCTTCAGATAAAAATTTCTTGAAACAGTACCACCTATTGCCTTTCACTATTAGTAATGTCTGAGTAAGATCCTCTAGAAGAAAGTCCTGTTCATGGTCAGCAGATGTATGTCATGGGTTGGATCTGAAATGTCCCCTCAAAGTCTCACGTGTTTGTAAGGTGACTGGATTATGGGGAAACTACTTGCTAGTGAGTTGGTCCAGGAATGGCTTCATAGTGAGGTAGGGCCTGGGTGGCAGAGGCAGACCACGGTCCCTCTTCAGTGCCTCCTTTTTTCACTCAGCTTCCCGGATGCCATGATTTGAGCAGCTTTTCTTTGTACCAGGCCCTTTCACCATGCTTTTCCCATGTTGGAGTCAACTGACTATGTACTGAAAATGTGGTCCAAAACAAACTTCTCTTGCTTTAATTTGTGGGTGTTGGGCATTGCATCTCAGTGATGAGGAACAGTGACTAAAATAATATTCATAAGACAATGCTTCCCAACCTGCCTTGATCTATAGAGTCAACACAATCTCTTTCAAAATCCCGGCTAGCTGTATTTGCAGAAATTGATAAACTGACCCTAAACTTCATATGGAAATGCAAAGGGTCCAGAACAACTAAAATGACAAAAAGGACAGAATCAAAACAGATAGACTGGTAACTAAACTATTAAATGTATAAAGCTTTAGTAAGACAGCATGATACTGGCAAAAAGTGGATTGTATGGGTCAGTTGAATAGAATGTGTGTTCAGAAATAAACTTCATTTTTATTATGAATTTAGTTTTGATGAGGTTCCAAGGCAATTCAAAGCGGGGAAGGAATGGTCTTTTCAACAAATGTGCTTAGATATTTTTAGCCTTATGCAAAAGAATGAATTTTGACCTCTACCTCACCTCACATCACAAATAAAAATGTACTCAAAATTAAGCATAGATCTTAGCACAAGAACCAACTCTTAGAAGAAAATATGATTAAATTTTCTTGATTTAAAGTTAAGCATTGGATATAACACCAAAAGCATAGTGATAAAAACTAATACAATAATCTTCATCGTAATTAAAAGCTTTTGTGCTCCAAATGACACTATCAAGAATGGAAAAATATCCCACAGCCTGAGAGATTATACTTGCAAATCATGTAAGATACTAGAATCTAAGATATATAAGGAGTTTTTATAACTCAGAAAACACCAAAAATGGACAAATGGCTGGGGATTTAGCTCAGCAGCATAGCGCTTGCCTGGCAAGCCAGATCGTGAGTTCAATCCCTGGTACAAAAAAAAAAAAAAAGCAAAGCAAATTGTTTGGTTGTATATTTCTCTAAGGATTTATCAATGGGCAGTAACATTATGTTACTGAAAGGTACTCAACATTATTATTCATTAGAAACATACAAATCAAGTCACGATGACATACTATGTATACCACTGGAATGGCTATAATTAAAAAAGAGGTAATAACAAATTTAGCAAAGATGCATAGAGTTTGGATCTCTCATAAATTGCTGGTGGAGTATTATTTTGAAAAATAATTTAGTAGTTCCTCAAAATGTTACAGAGTTACTACATGACCTAGCAATTTTATTTTTAGGTATTTATCCAAGAGGAATGAAAACATGTCTACAAAAAATAAGTTCAGGAATGGTCATACCACCATTATTCATAATAGTAAAAAAATAAAAACAACACAAATGTCTTTCAATTGATGAATAGGTAAACAAAGTGTATATCCACACACTGAAATGCTATTTAGCAATAAAAAAAAATGAAGGGCTGATACATGCTATGATATGGATGAATCTTGAAAATACTGTGCTAACTGAAAGAAAATAGCTACAAAAGACCACAGGCTGGGTTATGGCTTCTCAGTTCTATAAATATTCTATATACTATTGAGCAATCAATAAATACTTTTTAAAATAATTGGAGGGAAGAGTAGACTGTGAGGAGAGTTCAACATTTCTTTTTAAGAAATTGATAGAACAATTAGAAAAACATCAATCTAGGCATAGAACAATGAATAACTGTCAACTTCCTTGGTCAATCTGATATTTACACTCTACATAAGTAAGGGTTACACATTTTTCCAAGTGCATAGACCTCACACAATTATGTTGCATCATAGAAGTCTCAATATATTTGAAGATAGCTACATATATATATATATATATTTTTTTTTTTTTTTGGGGAAAATATTTTTAGTAACTTACATTAAATTGAAATATCAAAATCCAGAAGTTGCCTCAGAACTCCCTAAACATTCAGAAATTAAATTATGTAAGCAATTAGAAAAGTTTTATCACAAATAAAATGAAAATAAAATATGCAAAGCATGATGCAGAGTGAAAATGTTTGGAGTTATTTTGTCAAATAGAGCATGCACTGGCCATTTGTGGCTATTTATTTATTTATTTGGTACTGGGGATTGAACTCACAACCATGTGCTTGCAAGGCAGGTGCTTATGCTGCTGAGCTAAATCCCCAGCCCCCATAGCTAGTTAAATTAAAGGTTAAACAAATTCAGTTCTTTAGTCATATTCAGGTGCTCAGTAGTCACATGCCGCTAATAGCTACTGTGTGAGGTAGCACAAAAGAAACATTTTCATCACTGGTGATTTTTTTTTTGCTTGTTATCTGAGACAGGGTCTCAGGGTCTTGCTATGTTGTTCAGACTTGTTTTGAACTCACTATGTAGCTCAGGCTGGCCTCTGACTTGTGATAATCGTCTTGCCTCAGCCTCTAGAGTGTTCAAATTACAGGTGTGTGCCACCATGCCTGGCTTGACAACTGTCTTTTGAACAGTTCTTGCTTAGGGGAAAATGGAATGCAGTTTTTAAAAACAGAAAAGAAATTCTTAAAATTCATAATCTTAAGTTTCTACTGGAAGAATGAAAAAAAAAAAGGAGAAAGGGCAAATGAGTTAAACCTAAGGAAAACAAGACTACAGAAAAGCAGAAATCAGTGATTAAAAAATGGGCAAGTAACAGATAAAAATAATTGAAACAAAAGTTTTTTTTTTTTTTTAATCGGTACCAGCGATCAAACTCATGACCATACACTTGCAAAGCAGGCATTTATGCCGCTGAGCTAAATCCCCAGCCCCAAAAGTTGATTTTTTTGGGGGGGCTTTTTGAGACAGGGTCTTGCTATACTTGAGCTCACTTTGTAGCCCAGGCTGATCTCAAACTTGTAACAATCCTCGTGCCTCAGCCTCCCAAATGCTAGGATAACAGGCATGTGTCAACATGCCTGGTGAGAATTCTTAAGAGGAATCAATAAAATTTGTAAACCTTTAGTTAGTTGATCAGTAACAAATGAAAGAAGGCCCACATTGCAAATGTCAGGAATAAAGCGGAACAGTGCTCAGTGTTCCATAGGTGAACACATATTAACATGTATTATTAAAGGTAATCAGAAAATATCATGGATAGGTATTGGTTTTTACACTATTGTCTAATAAAGTGAATCAGAGAGCCTTGGATGAATTGCTGATTCTAGGATTGGGGCAGAGAAGATGACAGGATGGGCCTGGGTCATTGTGTAGTGCCAGAAATTAAAGAAAAAGAAAAGCATGAATATTTATTGGTTGTATTAGTCTGTATTCTGTTGCTGTGACAAAATACCTGAGAAAATCAGCTTGAGGAAAAGATTACCAGGCATGGTGGCACATGCCTGTAATCCCAGCACTCAGAAGGCTAAGGCAGGAAAATCACTGTGAGTTCAAGTCTGGCTTGGACTACATAGTGAGTTCAGGACCAGCCCGACCTACACGGCAAGACTTTGTCTCAACAAAACAAAACAAAACAAAACCCCTAGATTTATTTTGGCTCATGGCTTAAGAGTGTTCAGTCCATGGTTATGTGGTTCTGTTGCTTTGGGCTTGTGGCTCATTACTCCGTGGCAGCAGGGCTACACAATACAGGGATCTGTTCACCTCATAGCAGCTGGAAACAGAGCAAAGGCTGGGGTTCCAGCTCTTGCCCCTCCTTCAGTGGTATGACCCCAGTGACCTCACTTTCTTCCACTTGGTCCTACCCCCTAAAGGTTCCACCCTCCTAAGAGCACCATCACCTGGGGAGCAGGCCTCCAGCATGTGGTCTTTGGGGAGCATTTAAGAGCCTAAC